AATTTTGTTGCATGGTGCTCTGTGAATCTTCTGAAACTAAATCTGAGTAAATGTAAGAAGCTTTCTTTCTCGAGCAGAAAGTCATTCATAACTCAGTATTTCATAGATTCGCATAAGTTGGAGGATGTCGATTCGATCACAGATTTAGGCGTTCTATTTCACCATAGGTTACGTTTCAACTTGCATATTGAGCTCTCGATAAGCAAAGCTAGGCCCGCGCTGGGTTTTATAAAAAGGTGGTCCAAACAGCTTGGTGATCCCTACATTACGAGAAGACTGTACATGTGTTTGGTTGGACCCATACTCGAGTATGCCTCTGTTGTGTGGTCTGCTTCATATAGGTGCTATGTAGATTCAATTGAATCTGTTCAAAAGCAATTCTTGCTGTTTGCCCTTAGAAATTTGGGTTGGGATCCGATTGCCTCTCTTCCTCCCTATAAAAATAGGTTGCTTCTGCTGTCCTTACCGTCTCTTGAGAAACGTAGGTTTGTTCTTGGCGTTTCCTTTTTAATCAAAGTAATAAATGGTGCTATTGACTCGACTTGGTGAAATAAGCTTTAAGCCTAACCACTTCTCTAGGCACTTTATCTTGGTTAAGCTTAGTCAGTGTGAATATAATTATGAGCTGTTTAATCCGTTCAGAGTAGTTTGCAAGAACCTACATGACGTCTATCGCTTATTCTCGTTATCGGACTCTTTAAAGTCCATTAAAGCAATATTGCTTAATACGCGCGATTTACCTATGTCTTACTTAAATTAGCTTTCATCCTTAAAAGTCGTTACGATTCGGAAATGAATTGTTTTTAAGTATTATCGGTTGCCACGCTTATGCATGTTAGCGATGGCGTAGGGGTTCATTTGCAATTTGGTCCCGTACCGGTTGTAAGTGTGGCAATATGCTGGTTTTGTACATGCTTTTTTCCTTTTTTCTTTTTTTCCCCTTCTTATTTGTTTTATTGTACTTATACTGAGTTTTATTATGAATTTAATATAAGTTTTGCTTTAAGTGCCAATTGAACTCGACTGTTATTTGTTTAGTTGAGTTTCATCTATAAGTAGAATTAAAATAAATAAATAAATAAATAAATAAAAAACATAATTTCTTTTTAGCAACCTATTTAGGTGTTTCCACCTTCAATTCTTCCGAAATCTGTAATCAACTGTAATGTGCTGGCACAGACAAAGTATTGTAATGTTCTTATACAAAGTGCACTTACCGTCTACTGTTTCACTACTTATACAACCCGCTGATATCTGTATCGCTTTTTAGCTAGAGAGTGACGATCCGGTTGGCAATAGAGGCGCCACGGTCTAGTCAACGAAAATTTGCTGTTTACTAGCTTATTATTTAATTTCCTAAAGTTTGTTGTAAGACTTCTTTGGTACTACTACTAGAAGTTAATTGTAATGGCTTATATGGGAATTTCCTACTTATACTGACGTTTTCCATTATTAATAATTTTTGTTTACAGACATTATTAACTGTTAGCTTTTCTTTCTCTAAATGAGAAGTTCCAAGCCAGTGAATACATTAGTCAGTGTTCCTCTGCCGAATTTGTCGAATTGTTTATCAGTATGATTTCTCTTCCCGTTGATTTGTAATAATCATTTAAATCCGTTGTTTGTGTCATTAACAGTTCTAAAGTTATTGTTTTGTTGCTGTGTTTAATATATAAATATGACTAATGCCATTACTTGTTGGAATTGAATTTGCCATTGAATTTGTGTTTGAATTTCAAATATTTTGGAATAGTCATTTTTGATGTAAGAGAAACTGTGATTATTAGATTTGGTAAGTATGATAATGTTTGCGTTACCTGGGTTTCATGTGACTCATTTCTCTGGTTCCGTGTGGCATTAATATATTTATGTATATCAATTATGTAGTTTTTCTTTTCGCCTGGTGTTGTTGCTACAGTTATTTTTTTCTTTTAAAAGCCCTATCATAAGTGGATTTATTCTAATTAGTTGCAAGCTTTTATATGAATTATCGTTTGTTATTTGGGTTTGTCATTCCTATATCGATCTGTACATCTGTTCGGATTATTGTTGTTTCTACATTGATTGCGATATCTATTTTAGTGTTGGATGCACTGTCTGCACTATATCAATTTTGACTTTGATTTTTTATATAGTTCTGAATTTCAATGCGTAAGATGTGGTTGTTGATCTCAATGTCAAATTTTTTGGAAGTTTTAGGGCGAGCCTTACTGGTTCGCCCAATGTTAAGAGCAACATATATCGTTTCCTGGTAGTATTCGTTCAGAAATTGCCATAACGTACCGAAAAGGTAATTTGTATCTTTGATGCCGGTTTCGCTCGATTAGGCATTGGAAGAAAAATATCTTTCACTAACAAACCAATGACATTAAGTCGAGATTGTATAAACAATCAATAAAGTGTGATAACAAATAAACTGCATAAAAATATTCCGTATAAATTAATTTATATGCCATTCGGTTGATTACTGCATTAATTACTAACAAATTTCAAAATTTATGTGAATCAGTTATGTAAAAATGTGTTTAATTCGGAATTATTTCTTTCAATTTTTATAAAATTTGTAATTTGTAATTTCAATCGTTTTTGTCGTAAAAAAAGTTGTTGAAAGTTCTATTTTATTTACTTGTCCTTAGCAATTTTTTATCTTGGTTTAAAAAATAAATTTTTTTTAGCGTTTTCGATTTTCACTTTGCCAATTAAAGGAGGAAAATATTTTTATAATTTTCTTTTTATTAATTGGGAAACAAACGTTGACAGAACTTTGCATTTTTTTTTTTATTTTCGATTTTTTGTGTTGAGCATTTTTCAATTAGCCTTTGAAAATTTTTGGACGCTTGTATTATTGAATTTTTTTTTTTTTTTGGTCGGGGATCCGCCAGGCTTCGATAAGGTGGCATCATCCAAGGCTACGGGGGGTGATGATTCTTTCTTGAGTTCTACGGTTCTCCTCGTTCCTCTCTTCAACGAACGAGTATAAGAAGGAACTACGATACTTTGTTTAAAACGTACAAATTGGTTAACAATCCTCAATTTTGCACGATATTGAAAAAAAAATTGTGCTTACTCTTACCAGATTTGTTTTTTTTTTTCTCGTAAGTAAGTGTTAGTTCACAACTTTTATATCACACACAATTTAATTTTCTATGAAAAATAATTTAATTTCTTCTAGCTGCACTAAACGAACGATATATTTAGGTTTGTTTGTACATTTTTGGTAGCTGTTTTTCCTACAAACGCAACTCTAAAAGAAAGCTAAGTGATAACTTTTCTTGGTTTATAATATGCTCCCAGCGACAGCAAATTTTGGTCTCTTCAGATTTGACGTAGCTCAAAGAGCGCATTTAGCGATAACCCCTAAACAAATTTGACTGTGGCCACAGCTTCGCCGTCTGCTTACATGCCCACCATGCCGAGCTATGAACTTAACCTATGCAAAATACGTACAAATAGTTTACTGTTAAGTGTAGGGCCAAAACGAGAAAATGGTTTTGTTTCTCACAGTATATTCATGTTCCATCAATTATATAGTTTTTCTTTCAACTACTTATACATATGGCTTTTACGATCTAATTTCTAAGCATATATTTTTTGTTTGTTTTATGTATGCACATCTAAGTGCGTTCTTTTACAAATTGGTTTCCTATATACGCACGCTTTTAAAATTTTCCCACGCTATATAATTTTAATATAAATACATCCTAGACCTCACTTTTAGACATGCAATTCGTCTTTCTATATAAATGTATATTTTAAACCTCCTTTTTTGGCAATTTAGCATCTACAGTGGGTCTTATTAATATTGCGTTTTTCCATTCTACATAAAGTAAATGTTTGTTAAACCTGGTCCATTGTCCATACTTAACCATTTTTTACTATTTTGTAGTCCTAGGGAATACACATTAAAATTAAAGAAAAAAACACACGAAACGTTATTGCAGTAGACGAGGAAATTAAATAACTTCAACAACTCAAAAAACGTAGTGTCATAAATATTGGATAGTTTTCATCTAGGGGTGGATATGAAGGTAAAAAACAGCATATTATTAAAAATTAATATTATATGAGGTATCATTTTTGCTTAATAACGTCATTCAAACGTTTTGACAATTTTTTTTGTAGAGGAAACAGGGATCTTGTTTCGTTCTCCTTGCAGTTTATTTTTCGCATCTTGGACGGAAAAGATTGCATGTTTGCGCACACGCCGGTCTAATTCATCCCACATATTATTGATGGGGTTCATTCCTGACGATTGAGGAGGAAGTTGAAGCATTTTGCAGTAGTTATATAAGCCCCATACTTGAATTAAGCCCGAGTTAAGTTTGAGCTGACGAGCTTAACTCTTGTATGAGTGTGCTACAACCCATATGCACAAAAGAACACACTACTGATAGATAGCAGGTGTCCATTGACAAATTCCCACCGTGGTCTTCTGTGGATAGCATATGTCCCATACTAGACAGTATGCAAAGTTGTCAGGCGCCTAAGTTGTCAGACCACCCACCCAACTCAAAGGGTTTGTAACATGACCGAAATGCTCTTATAGCTGGCACTATGGCATCGCGCTCTTGCATATTTTGCAAGTCGCAGTTACACTACGTTACTAATTATTCTGACTTTGGAAATTTTAACCCAGCATAATTCCATGTGGAAGCGAAAAGATTGTGCAACAAAAAGATCACAAAAAAAAATTGCAAACCCGGTCATTGTCGTCATTGCTATACAAATCAATATTCATTATTGCACTTCGATAAGAGAGATATTGAATCCATGGTAGCTTTAAGTGCCACTACAGAACCACCTGTCATCTCCACAACTGTCGACTATGTGCGTGTACTTATTTCCTCATTATCAGCTACCACTCTATCTCAACTTCAAAAATATTGTTGCCACCACGTATTTATCAAATGAACTCTGAGTAAGAACAAATTGATCATTTGTTATCACTTCTCGCAGCGCTTTTGTTGCATATATTTGTTGTTATCTCCCTGCAATCGAAATATGGAAATTATTCATCTTCAACGTTAGCTCTCATCGCGCCAGTTATCATATTATCAGCCTAGTATCAAGTCTAACGGAAGAAAAAGTGTGCGTTTAGCAAACCCCTTATTTCACAAACCAGGCGTTATAGAAATTTGAGCGGCGTTGGTCTCTTCTTCGAATTGATTTGTGTTGCCCGAATTCGCTTGGCAAACAATCTGCCTACTTTACAAGAAACATTATTGGTATGATCTCTGGTGGTGGATTTCCTGCTTTAAATTCATTGTCATTAGCAACTAACGTCAAAAATATTAAACTTAAAGGTGCTAGTTAAATCATTATCCCTAGAAAATTACTTTGATTAATCTCATCTTGCGACCAAATATCATTTGCGAGCAAAACTTTAAAATAACGAAGGTGCATGTTCTGTAAGCGTGCTCTTCACCGTTTTAAAGGTCTCGAAAAGAAGCTGAACAAGCATCCAGAAATCAAAACACAATACATAACCTTTATGAACAAGTATATAGAATCCCATGTCGCTAGTCAGATCTCCACCAAAACGCAAAACTTGTTATTTATTTTGTTACTTATTTTTTATTATGCAATGATATCATTTTGTGCATGAGGGAGGTAGCACAGCAACAAAATAAAGTGTCGTTTTTGACGATTCAGCAAAAACATCACGTTTTTTACTAAATAACATACTTCATTCCAGCTATTTATATTTTGATGAAGCTATTTATATTTTGCTTTGGTGCAGCAGTGATATTTGTAACATGTGTCGATCTGTAGAGGTTTCCTATTCAGACGATTACCTACAATGTATTCTCCAGAGAAACAACACTTCAAAACTTACAAATTGAATATCGTTACCTATGGAACTAAGCCTTCTTAGTGCTATGTAACAACTTCCGGATGATGGAGGAAATAGTTTTCCCTTAGCTTCCGGGATTATGAAACTAAATTTGTACCTTGACAACTTTGTGGCGGTACTTCTATTGGTAAAGCAGTATTTATACGGCGGGAAGTTACATCCTTACTCCAGAAAGGTAACTTCATGTTTCGAAAATGACGATCAAAGGATCAAGCCATCTTATGCGATCGTTCACTATCAGATTGCAAAAAGTTTCTTAAATTTCATGATCGGATTGATGCAATCATGACCACAATAAACCTATGTGTCAAACTGCTATGTTGCACCAATGTTCTTTACAAAATATTGAAAGCTAGAACTTATTGTCATATGAAGACTCATTGTTTTCATGAATTTTTTTAAAAGAACAGGTTAAAAGAATGATTACATCTCTGTAGAATACGCCAGTGACCAGGAGAAATGTTCGAAAACTATAGTTAGATTTTCGAAATACTAACCTTTGTACATACCATTGCACCTTCCTCAATGTTACTCGCCTTGCAATGGATTTCGATGTATACTTTTTTAGGGGATCTTCCGAGCTTCGGTTAGATGTCATCAGCCAAGGTTCTAGAGGATATGCACCGTCACCTGAAAAAAATTAGAAAGATGTAAAAGTAGAAAAAGCAGATTTAGCAGTTATGTTTCCACCTTTTGTAACACTTCTGATACAAAGGTTTATATCGCGCTTTGTGTAACACTTACTCACTGCAGGCCAGCCATTAGTAATCTTCTGAAGCCAACAACTTTAAGGTCATGGGTAAATGCAACATCGGCGGTATATATGCAATCCCCATACCACCACTCATACCAATTTTTACAAGGACGTAATAAAAAGCCGCTTTGGAAATACGGAACTTCTGCGAATGCTTTCTTGCTTATGTCGTGATGATCCTTTTATCTGCGTCAGGGCTGTCATTGTTCTCCTCTTCAACGAATGAGCGTAATAGGAAGTTACGACGCATGGAAATATACACATTGGTCAACATTGCTTAATTTAGCTCAATATTAAAACAAAATTTGTGTTTACTGTTACCAAATGTTTTTTTCTTTTTCTTCCCAATACACAAATATAATTTCGAATACACTCTATTTTTTTTGTGTTTTTTTTAATTTTTGAATTATTACTTCATACTGGAACAGCTGTTTACATTTTGTTTACATTTGTTCTCATCATCAATTTTATTATCGCCAGATTTTATTTATTTATTTATTTTTTTTTTGGTATGTTGAACAGAGATGGATTAAGCCAATGGATTTGTGGCTTATATGTCCAGATAATAAACTGTTGTAATTTTTAGTCACGATTATGTATAAAACGTAAAAAAAAAAAAAATTAGAGCGGCCGTAATAAATGGAGTGAGCATGTTAAATGTAATTGTGTGTGTGTGTGTGTGTAATTGTGCTTGTTGAGTTCTTGAAAGTTAAACAGTGTTGCAAACTTTGGCTGAAAACGAAAAGCAATGCTATGGTAATAGAAGATTATTAAACGCAAAAACGAAAGAAAAAAAAAGGAAAGAAGAGGAAAAAAAAAAAAAAGATTCTAAAAGGATAAATTAGCTTTTCTAATAAAGCAAGTTAGTTCCCCGAGATGACGTACATTTTTTGCTGCAAAGAGATCGAGGATACAGCCATATAACTTGAAGAAGCTAAAGGAATCTCTAATGCCATCAAGCCTGTGACATCTGAAGATTAGATGCTCAGCAGACTCCACAACATTGCAAATTTCACAAACATCACATGGTATAGCGCGAACCATTTTTAAATAAACTTTGTCATAAGTGTGACCACTCACGAGTCTATAAAGAATTTTGATTTCCCAGGAATTGAAGGAAGATACAGAGAAGGGTTTGAATTGAAGTGTGGGATTTAATTTATAGAAAAGACGATTGGATTTAACGCGCCCGATTACTTTAAATTCGTCGTTTAGCTGCTGAAGGATGTGGTTGCGAATTGCCCGAATTGCTTCATTGGGAGTATATTTGACGGGCAAAATTGTCCCATCAACACGAGCCCTCCCTGCATGAAAGTCGGCTTTTACATTTAAAAAAAGCCGCAGTGGCCAGATACCCAAACGAGGTGACAGTCATCCAATTGAGATTCATGCAACATCTTGTGAATATCAAAAACATATTGATTTTCTGCATCTTTTATTTATTAGAAGTAGAGCTGACCTGCTGTCAGAAAAAATAACAAAATTTCTGATACCATCGGAAATAGCAGCCTTAATAGCATGTCGAATGGCGAGCAACTCAATAAAAGTCGAGGAAAGTTCCTCTTCCACCTTAACTCGATGTACTGTTTCAGATAGATGTTTCACGACCGAGAAGCCAGATACATTATGTCCGACGGAACCGTCGGTGGCATATATATCATATCCGTTGTTGTAATAAAAAAGGAGCTTTTCTTGGCATAACAACCTTATACAAGAGAAGTTGACATTTTGTTTTGAGGTAGAGATTGGTTCGAGAATGTTCATGAAGACTTTGCATTTGCTGGTAATGAAATTCAAGGAGGGAATTGAATCTAACTTATCAAAAATATGACGAAGTTTTTGATAGCAAAAAGTATAGCTGCAAGTGACAGTATCACTGAGAGATATAATTTCCTGAAAAAAGCAAGGATTTATCATCTTGACTTTAATTAACTCCTTGGCAGTGCAAAAAAGGGCTCTTTCGGAAACTGGCCATTCACCAGATATAACATTGAGAATATGTTGAGGAGTTGAGGGGGTCAGTCCAGTACAACGCTTTAACATTCGGTTTTCAAATGCTTGTATACGTTTTTCAATATATTTTGGGAAATTGCAGCATGTGGAATGTCCAAATTCAATTTTGGACCTGACTAGAGATTTGTAAACGGTCAAAGCATTTTTGGGAGGCAAGCCTGCCTGATTGTTTGTCATGAGTTTGATGATGTTGCATCCAGACTGACAATCTTTGAACGCCTTTTCATAATGCCCACGAAAGGTTAAGCTGTCATTTAAAATTCTCCCAAGAAATCGAAGAGATTTTACCTGATTAACTAGGGTACCTTTGATAAGAAGTCTGATTTCACGTTTAGAACCTTTGGCAAAATAAATAGTGTTTGTCTTGCTGGGGCTAAAAAATAAATTAAGAACAGCGAATGCATCGAAAAACAAGTTCGCTTTCATCGAGAGGTTATTGACAGCTGCTGGAAAAGATGAGTCCGCGGATACGATTAGAAAATCGTCTGCATATTGAAAAATGTGAGTTTTGTCATCTTGAAGATCATGCAAAGAAGCTGCGTATAAATTGAAGAGTATGGGGCTTAAACAACTGCCTTGTGGGATACCACCGCATATTTCAACTTTTTCGGTACCCATCACCAACAAACGTTTGGACAAAAAATTAAATATCCACAGCCGCATTTGAAGAGGAATCGAAAAGTTTAGGAGAATTCTACCAAGCTTAATTAAGTTGACACAGTCATAGGCTTTGCTAATGTCCAGGGAGAGCATGACAACCTTTTTCCCTGCTTTTTTTAAACTGGCTATGAGAAAACACAATTCATTAACGCACATATTCGTAGATTTGCATTTTTGATAGGCGTAAGACCGAGCTGGAATAATGTTCTTAGTTTTCAGGAAAGCAGTTAGTCTCTCCTTAACCATGAGTTTGATGGTCTTTATGAATACAGATATTAGTGAAATTGGTCTGAAGCTCCTTAAATCATTTAAGTCTTTACCTGGCTTGGGAATGGGAACTGTTTTGATGCAACGCAAATCAGAGGGTATAAAGTTGGTGGACCAGCAGTTGTTAATTGCATGCAAAAGCATGCTAAAGCTTCCTCCAGACAGTGCTGTGAGCATGTCATACTTGACTCCATCACAACCTGCAGCAGTAGCTCTCTTTCTGGAATGTAAAACATACATTAGCTCATGCAATGAAAAGGGTGTGTTACTGATACTACTAAAAGGAATTGAAGGCATTGTAATAGGATTAACAATTGGAATGTAGCTCTTGAGCATATCTAAGTATTTTTTATTATCACGGTCATTCCATACAGCACAACCGCTTGATTTTCGACTAGAATGTCGATGACCATTGGTATAATTCGAGAAAGAACGTAGGTTGCCGTTACCACATAACTCTTTAATGGCGATGGCTCTATGTGCCCTTTTCGCCTTTCTAACTGCAGACCTCCATTCTTTCAGTATTTTCGTATATTCAATGTAGTTGGCTGGATTGGCATATTTACTCATTTTTTTTCTTGCAGCTTGGTATTTGCGGAAAAGTGTCGACAGGGAAGGATTCCACCAAGGTTTAGGTGAGAACGACTCAATGTCAGGGAAGTTGGTTCTAGCAGACATGATCACAGACTGAAAGGTACTTTGAATTGATGATAAATCAGAAGGAAGATCAACTTTAGACAGACGGTCCATAAGGAAGTTGCGTGAAATAAAATTTTCTATTTTCTTGACGGAATTGTTGCAACTGTGGAATATAATGGGGGAGTGTTGACTTTTGCTAATGTAAACATTGGACGTGTTCCAGTTGAAAGATAAAATGGTTGAGTTCGAGAAAGTTAGATCCGAGACACTGCTCGCCGTGCGACCGCTCCGGTTACAGTGAAAGGTAGTATTGCCGTTATTTAAGGCACTGAAACTGCTGGAATTGATGGCATTTACAAGGATTTTGCCTTTGTTGGTAGAGACTTGATCGCCATACAGGCGGTGTCTTGCATTGAAATCTCCAGCTAGAATCACATTTTGTTCGCCGTCAAGAAAGTCGCATAATCTCTGAATCTCATCACGAAAGGTTTGCACATCGAGACTGGGTGGAAAGTAGCATGAGGCTATGAAAAGATTCGGTTTCAGGTTGATGGTTTTGACGATGATGATGTCAACGGCAGAGTTATAGGGAATACGTCTGAAATTGACACCTTTCTTAACTAATATACTAACACCACCATAGCCATTATTTCGGCATTTGGTGGCTGACGCATAATTCGAAACTTTAACTTCGAAACAATTTTCATCTTTCAGAGAAACTTCACTTAAGATACAAAAATCAATCTTGTTTGAGTTTAAGTAAAAGTCTAGAAAAGATAGGTTACGTCGGACACTTTGAATATTATATTGTAAAAAGGATATCATGTTGAAGCTTGAGGAAGAACCCCAGCGGATTTCCTCGCAGTACTGGATGCTCGAACGGGGCAAGAAATAGCACAGACAGACATTTTTTCTTCAAATTCTTTAATAAGATTGTGAGAGATCATCGGGCGGATACTTTCTTGAATCGCGTGAATTAATCTTTCAAGTTCTGAAGACCGCAAATAGTTGTTTGAAAGTTTTCGGTCCAAGAAGGCTTGTTCCAGACGGCTTGGGGGGTGTATTGGGAGGAGGCTTGGTGGGTGAATTGATAAGAGATTTGGAGGGAACCAATTTACTTTTGACGACAGCATTGTATTTATTTTTGGTTAAGATTTTGTTGGCATTTTGATTATCATCCTTGGTCGAAATTGTAGACGTGTTCCCCAGTGGAGGGAAATTGCCGTCATAAGTGTTGTCATCGAGACATTCGAAATAATTTACGGAAAAATTCTCTTTCACCTCTTTGTACGAAAGATTTTTAATCGCCATTATCCTGTTGATATTTAATTCACTTTCCCTATAAGGGCAACACTTGTTGAGAGCGTTGTGCTCACTTCGGCGACTTTCCTCAGTTAAGGCACCTGCTCTCGTTAGCTTTGCAGAATTTAGATACGTGACCGTATCTGCCACACTTAAAGCACTGCTTTAGTGGGTACAAAGTATTCGACCGGCAGATTACCATAATTAAATTTTATTGCCTTAGGGAGGGCTCTCCCTTTGAAGCCAACTTTGATGCTGGTTGTGGGAATCCACTCGTCTTTGTTGTTGGGATTTCTTCTTTGGAAACGGACAGCGGACTTAATCGGGATATCGGAGACGGCGTTATTAATTATATCATCGACACTATATGTGCATGGGATGTTTCGAATAACTCCAAATCTCTCAGTAAACGACCTCGGTATGTACGCTTTTAAATTCTTTTTATTATTCATTTTTCGTAACAAAATTGTTGGCATTGGCAGC